AAGGCACTTGTTACTAGAAGCGATGCACTTGTTACTAGTAGCTTCTTTGCCCCTAGTGTTCGGAAATCAGGAGCATCAGCCTCGCCTTTTCGCCGCCTGAGAAGACCATAGGAGTTCGTCTCACCTGAGTCCAAATCGGCCGAGCGCAGCCGAGCGCAGCCGAGCGCAGCCGAGCGCAGAGCAAAATTGGAGCGATTGCCGGCGCTTCCAAAGAGCAGACATGCGTCTTCATAGTAACAAGGACGCTACAATCGGGGCTCCTGGCCTTACTACTAGGAGCAAGGACGCTACTAGGAGCAAAGGGCATCGCTACGAACGCAGCATATAGGCACGGTTCCAGGACTCATCAGAGAACTCATACTTGGGCGAAACCATCTCACTTACTGCGAAACATCTACAAAGCAACACTGCAGACATGTGAAAACATGCCAAGAGTTGCTGTTGGGAAAGGGAGGTAAAGGGTTTGCACGGATCGGCAACAAGTCGGCATTTCGGCAGAACTTGTGGAGGAAGGTTCATCAGTCGTTGAAGCGCCACCTCCGAAGTCCCGCAACGGTTGAGGAGATGAAGGAGTGTTCGGTCTCAAATCTGCTCACTTCTTCTTGTTAATACTAGCGTGGCACCTGTTACTACTAGCTTCTTGTTACTACTAGTAAGGCACCTGTTACTACTAGCTTCAGGACGTAAAGCCCACAGCCTCGTTTGTTTCAGTTCTTTGTGACTTTGTCCACATCGGTTTCTTCATAAGTGGGTTTCTTGATATTTCTTGGCCAAAACGACATTGTTGAGAACTAACTTTTGCCATTTGTCAAACAAAAGCATTAATGAAGCCTACAACACGTAATTAACAAGCATTGAACCGTTTGGAAAACAATTCAAAGCAATTTATAACAATTTAAAGCAATTTGTCGAACTTCTGAATAGTTGTTGGTGGTTTGGGGTCCTGGACGTGCAGCCTTTCCAAATCGTAGCGGCCAAAGAATCTGTGCGCACTTGGATTGGCTGGCCTCATCCTGTTGAACATGTGGAACCTATAGTTGGAAACATTCAGAGCAGATACAAGGCCATGTTAGTGCAATGTGGCAACCTACAAGCACTAAGGCAGCTAAGAGGCCAAGTGTGTATCGACTGTTCAAACGTTGCCGATTCCAAACGGATTGGCACTGTGCAGCTCGGGGAATCTGAACTAACCTGTTTCGACGTAATGCGTTTCGCGTGTGAAAAACCGAAACAATCTGAACGTTAATTAAGTCTTACATTGTTTCTAATGGCAAACATTGTTACTACTAGTAAGGCACTTGTTACTAGTAGTGATGCACCTGTTACTAGTAGCATTCTTGCTACGTTGAACGTTTCGACGTTTCCACTTCGTTCTTCTTGCCTTTCGCGCCGTCATGGTCACGTCGTGATGGTTTCGCAAGGAGAAAAGGCAGTATTTGGTTCTTTCGAAGGTCATCAATTCTGTGGTTTTTGAAAGAATCCAACCTAGAAGCAATAGCCTCCAACCTGAAAGAATCAATGGTTGAAAGAATCAACAGTGATACTCCAGTGGCAAGTGAAGCCATGGCCTCCAAGTGGTCCAGCGCTGAGCGGGAGTTCGGTAGAAAGCAAGGTCTATATAATTATAGTAGGTTGGAGGCCATCGCTACTACACTCCATTTCTTAACTATACTTCATTGCTTCTTGTTACTACTAGTAAGGCACTTGTTACTACGCACTTGTTTCTCCATTGCATCGGTGATTGTTGGATGGTTGATCTCGTTGCAAAGGTCAAGCCTTCGGGAGAAATTCCGTACCGACAAACGTTGCGATGAGAGCTCTTGTCGCGATAGGCTTGTTCCTGAGTGCGGCGACACAAGTGTTTCTTCTGGGGGCGCCAAACTGTTCGGCTAAAACTTTTTAGAGATTAGGAGCAAGGACGCTACGAACGGGGCTCCTGGCCTTACTACTGAGTGATCAGTGGGCGCTTTAGCGTTGATCAGAGCGCTGAGGAATCTAAGATTAGTCAGTCCTTCGGGTCTCGCTAGTAGTAACAAGTGCCTTACTAGTAGTAACAAGGACGCTACTAGGAGCAAGAATTTCTATTTTTTCTCTTTTCGTCGTATGGTCGGACGGCTTCGGTGTAGGTCCAGCACGGTAGATGAGGACGAGGCGAGCCAACCTGTGGACGGATCTTTTTTCTTTCCAAAAGAGAGCAAAGAAGATAACATAAGCGATGTACACCCTCTGTGCATTTCTTGTCACATCTCTTCGTCTCCACTTCCTCATGCGCAAATTCGGGTGCTGCTTGTAACAATTGGGTCATAAGAGTGCGGATCCAGGAGTGAGGTTGATGAAAGAGAAAAAAGGAAGGGCAGGTTGATGCGGTTTATGCTTCTTGTTACTAGTAATGCCCTTGTTACTAGTAGCTTCTTGCCACACGGCCAGGAGCCCCTAGTAGCGTCCTTGCTCCTTGTAGTAAGGCCAGGACCTTCTTGTTACAAGATGAGGAACGCAAAATGCAAAGTTTTTACATTGTGGCCTCGTGGCGTCCGACTCGATTGAGGTCCCTGTGTTCCTTGTTACTAGTAGCTTCTTGTTACTACTAGTAAGGCACCTGTTACTACTAGCGTGGCACTTGTTCCTAGTAGCTTCTTGTTTGTTTAATTTTTGTCTCCTTGTTTTTTTTGGCGATTTCAATACGTTTGTTCTTAGCCCGTGGCCCTGTCTCCTTAATTAAGTAAGTAGGCGCCTCCTTAGAGGAGAGACTTGTTAGCTCCTAGGGATAGCTTATGCTCGCACGAATGATTTGGTTCCTAGATGTTGAGGGAAACTTCAAGAGAAACGAAGTGCCGCGTGTTGAAGCACAACTACAAGGAGCAATGTTCGCTACTAGGAACAAAGGGCATCGCTACTAGGAGCAAGGACGCTACTAGGTATGTTTTGAGCATTTGTACTCTACAGTGTACCGAAGGGGCGTGTTTGTTGTACCAGCGAAGTGAAAAAGTGGCAGGCCATTGGGGCACATGCATATTACTAGTAAGGCACTTGTTACTACTAGCGAGGCACCTGTTACTAGTAGCTTCTTGTTACTACTAGTAAGGCACCTGTTACTACTAGTGTGGCACCTGTTACTACTAGCATATGTTACGTAATCGGTATTATTGTTTGAATGGTACTGCAACTGCACGGCATGCCGCTTCGCCACATCTTTGCTGTGTTATTTTTCCTTACACCTCCTATGCCCATGTTGTGTTTTCTATATGTATTTTTATTTGTTTAGTTTGTTTTCATAATTGAGAAGGTACGCTTTCCATGTTGGAGGCCATTGCTACTAGGTTGGAGGCCTATGCGTTCTATGTGCCCTCCCTTTTTTTTCCTTCTTGAGGCCATTGCTTTTAGGAGCAAGGACGCTACTAGGAACATAGGGCATCGCTACGAACGGAGCAAAGACACCTTAGGTTGGAGGCCATCTCTGTTTTCTAGTAGCCAGGAGCTACTAGTAGCTTCTTGCTCCGATCGTAGCGATGCCAGGAGCCCCGATCGTAGCGTCCTTGACTACTAGTAAGGCACTTGTTCCTAGAAGCGATGCACTTGTTACTAGTAGCTTCTAGTTACTACTAGTAA